ATGGGGTGCATATCTACCCCAAAATTTTCTCTAGCATTGAATGGAGGTCTGCATGGTTATTTTCATGGTGCAAGAGGCTTGAGACAAGGGGATCCTCTCTCCCCCTATCTATTTGTTATAGGGATGGAATTTCTATCTAGAAGACTTAACACTCTAAAGGATGATTCATCATTCAAATTTCATCCAAAATGGTCTAGGTTGAAGATTAATCATCTGATTTTTGCTGATGACTTGCTGCTGTTATGTAAGGCTGAAATGAGTTCTATTGCTAAAATTTTTAAATGTCTCCAAGAATTTGTACAAGCTTCTGGCCTGGAAGCCAATTCAAGCAAGTGCTCCGTCTACCTGAGTGGCGTAACTGATGGTCTCAAAGCTCATATATGCAACCATCTCAAATTCCCTGAGGGTGTATTGCCTATGAAATATCTGGGCCTACCTCTGACTGCAAAAAGACTCTCATACATTGATTGTTCTAGTCTTATTGGTAAAATTTACAATCAATTCCAATCTTGGCAGCAAAATAAATGCCTATCTTATGCTGGTAGACTTGAGCTGATCAAGTCTGTTATTTTGGGCATTCAAACATATTGGCTAAGCAATTACATTCTGTCAATAAAAGCTCTGGAAAAGATTGACAGTATGTGTTCTGACTTTCTGTGGGGGCACAAATTTCACTTAGTAAATTGGGGATCTGTTTGTCAAAGTAAAGAGCATGGGGGTCTAGGTATCTTCTCAGCAAAGTTCTGGAACTATGCAGCTACCACTAAGCTTTTGTGGTTGGTTCATCTTAAAAAAGATCTCCTATGGATCAAGTGGGTACATGGAAACTATCTTCAAAATCAAAATATATGGACTGTTCAACCCAAGACAAATGACTCTTGGATGTGGAGGCAACTCCTTAAAGTGAGAGATATGTTTTTGAGTAAGTTTGGAAGTGCTGTTATTGCAAAGAATGTTATAGCAGATTGTTACACTGAAGGCAAACTTCATTTATCAGCAGTTTACAAGGCTCTTATACAACCTGCTAGTACAGTTGCTTGGGCTAAAACAGTTTGGGATGGCTTCCTGTACCCTAAACACTCCTTTGTGTTATGGTTAGCATGCCACTCAAGACTACTTACCAAGGACAGATTGTGCCGAATGAATATCTTGAGCACTAATCAGACTCACTGCATTCTGTGTAACAGACACCAGTTAGAGGCAAGGGATCATATCTTCTTTGAGTGTCAATACTCAGCTGAAGTATGGAACATGGTGATGGACTGGTTGGGGTATAAATGGAGGTCCTGTACATGGAGCATGATACTGAACTGGTACTCTTTCAAATTGAAAGGCAAATGTCCTATGAAGAAGCTGAAAAGGATGTGTTTATCTACTGCTGTTATATGATTTGGAGGGAGAGAAATCAAAGAATTTTTCAAGACAAGAGGAGGCTGCCTGCTCAAGTTTTTAGGGATATTAAACTTTTGGTTTTTTATAAAGTTCTAAATGATAGTTCACATGTGCATATGAAAGAACTACTTGAAAATTTGTAATTTTTTAGAGGTACATTTCATTTTCTTTCATTTGTTGTTTGCATAATATCGCGGCTTACGATAGCCATACCTTTGATGCCTGAGCAGCTGGTGGCTAAGAGTGAAAGACTGAGGATGAAAAAGCTTGAGGAGCTGAGCAAGAATATAGATTCTCTCCATTGAGTCAAGCTGCTGATTTTTTATCAGGGAACTATGTTGTGCGAATCAACGTCATGTTAGCTAGTTGTCACTGATGCTTTCGTATTGGTGTTGGAAGTAAGTATGTCGTCATGTTTTCTCATTGTCAAAAAATCTGATTTAGTTCGAAGATGCTCTGCTAAAAATTGTATCTGACAAGATTGATAGCGTGTCAACGTTGTGTGAACCTTCTCAATTCTAAACTCTGCATCAAATGATTCTCTGTAGTTTTATCCTCTGCTAGAGTTAGATTAAGTTACTTGTTTGTGAATCGAGCATTGTGCTATCCTTCTCTGTTCTAATATTTGTATCGAATGATTCTGGTTGTAATTAGCTAGCAATCTTATAGGTTTCAGCAGAATTTTTGGGTAATTCAGGTATGTACTACATATAACGAGCACAAATAAATTTCAATATGGTGGGGGTATTCTTATCATGGTGACTATAAACACTTTTCCTTACAAACTTCAAAACCAACCAAACACAAGAAAACTAGGAAATGTCATATAAACAAAAGTTTTTCCTTTTTTTCCCATGCGAACCAAACACAAGAAAAGTAAATACATTTGTTTCCCACCATTTTTTATGTGCGAACCAAAGCGAAACAATCTATTTCTTAGAAAAGTTTAGAAAACTCAAAAATTATGTTTCTCTATATGGAATTGTATTTCCCTATATCTAGGAAACGAACCAAACAGCCCCTAAGGGTCCGTTTGTTTCGCAAAAAAAACTTGGAAATTAAAGAATATGAAACCTATTTCCTATAATAATTGTTTTGAGGTTGTTTGTTTGGGTTAAAAAAGAAGGAAATTATAGAATAGGAGATGAGATGAGATGAGTTGTCACCTTATTATTGGATGATGTGAGTGATTTTTTAAAAAAACTTGTTTTGAGGTTGTTTGGTTGGTTAATAAAATAAGGAAATGAATTAGAGGTATATTATTGGATGATGTTTTGAGGTTGTTTGTGTTTGGTTCATTTTTAAAAATAAGAAAATAGATGAGATGAGATGAGTTGGAGGTATATTATTGGATGATGTGACACATACTTAAGGGCCTGTTTGGATTCGTAGGGGGTGAAGGGAAGTTAAGGGAAACTGAGTGAAGGGAAGGGAAGGGAAGGAAAGTGAATTCCCTTCTCCTTGGTTACACCCCAATTTGGGGGGTAACAATTTTTATACTATTAGGGGGTGAACCAAGGTGAATGGAGGTGAATTAACTTCACCTCCTAAGTGTTCCCAAACAAGGTGAATGGAGGTGAATGGTTCCCCTAACTTCCATTCACCCTCATTCCCCTCAATCCAAACAAGCCCTAAGGAAATCAATTTCTTGTTTTTTTTTGAGGAAATGGATGGAAATAAAGGTTTAATGAGATGAGATGAGTTGTCACAATATTATTGGATGATGTGTGTGATTTTTAAAAATGAGATGTGATGAGTTGGATGATGTGACACATTTCTTATGTTTGGTTTATTTTTAAAGGTAAGAAAGGAGATGAAATGAGATGAGTTGGAGGATAAAAATAATATTTTATTAGATGTTGTGGGTGAGTTTTAGGGATAGAAATGAATAAAAATATTATTTTAATGATTTCCTTGTACCGATTTCCTTTTTTTAGTTTTTAGGAAACCAACCAAACAACCCCTAATTGGAATGAGCAAGTGCGATGGATTCCAACGAGCAGCCAACAGCCAACTAAAAAAACATTTTTCAATACGAGGACGTCGAGGAGAATGGTGAGCAGAACTCTTATTGATAAACCTCCTTGAGTTCTATCATTGTAGATAAACTCCCCAAGTGCTTTTTTTACCTTTCTGATTTTTTTATTTTACCATGAGAAGGTTTATTTGTCCTAAAACAATTTTCTCTCCTTTTGAGGATAAAAGACCAAAAAAGTTTTGCTCTAGGGACCTATGTGTAATAATATATATATATAGGGAGAGGTTCTAATAAAAACATTCTTAGCCTAAAAACTAAAAACTAATATCATCCAATGGCTAGGATTCAGTCAAACAGTCAACAGACACATGCATTAATTACCTCATTAAACACATGCATTAATTACCTCAACGCAGTGAATCCAGATTCACTACAGTGATCCCAGATTCATTACATCAACGAACACGTCCTTTGTAGTGAATCCAGATTCACTGCAGTGAATCCAGATTCATTACCTCAACGAACACGTTTTTCACTACAGTGAATCCAGATTCACTGCAGTGAATCCACATTTGTTCGTTGAGGTAATTAATGCATGTGTCTGTTGACTGTTTGACTGACTCCCAACCATTGGATTCATCTTGAACTCTACTAAAATAATCCGATATTGATTCTGTAGCTTTCATCTTCAAATTTTCAAATTCAACTCTTAATGCTTGGAGGCGTACCTTTTTGGCTCTTTCCGCACCTTGATAGGATTTTTGTAAAATCTCCCATGCTTCTTTAGAGGACAGGGCATTGGAAATCTTCTCAAACGCAGATTCATCTACGCCTTGGAATATTAGGAACAAAGCTTTTTTGTCTCTTTTTCTGACCTCCTTCAGCTCACTCTTCTGTGTGGCGGTGAGAGTTGCTTCTGCTGCAGATGACTCCGGTTCAGTGTAGCCATTCTCCACGAGCTCCCACAAGTCTTGCGAGCCGAGCAAGACTTTCATCTGGATACTCTAGTTGTCATAATTGGTCTTCATCAGCTTCGGAATCTGTGGCTGGATTATATTCGCCATTTCGTACACGAGCACCTTCGATTGGCCCGGCTAGATCTAACTCTGCTCTGATACCACTTTGATGGAATTTAAAGAATACAACCCTCTACACAAAGAAAATTTTTATTGATAGAATAGATAATACAATACTTGTTCTTACAAGAACACCTCACTTTCATACAACTCCTTTATTTTGGTGGACACTCACACAAGGCTACACTACACACTCAAGCTCTCAAGCTCACTTCTTGCTTGCTTGCTTGCTTAAATGAGAGCACAAGACCCCTATTTATAGTTGTTTAATAGGGCTAGGAAGTGTGTAGAAGAGTTAATCCTAGCCATACATTACTAAAAAGTTTCTAGAAGAATAAATACTAGCCATACACTTGTATCTTCCTAGAAACTTCATGGTTGATATTTTGTAGGATGTTACTAAAAAGAAGTTCTAGAAAGTTATTCTAGAATAATCTAAGTTGGTGAGGAATTCTAATAGAAAAAGAGTGCCTTAATTAATTAGACTCTATATAAACCGATACCTCCTCATGCTCTTGGTGCACAAATCCTTACGATTCCAGCTTCAAAGCAGCATGGCCTCAGTAAGATTCCTACGGCTCATGAGCTTGCTGATCTTGGGTGTCTGGGCTTTCCAGGCCTCGGCATCCCGCAGACTCGGCGGGGTCCCCGTGTCGGAGATGCATGAGCGCTGGATGTCCCAGCACGGGAGAGTTTACAAGAACGAAGCAGAGAAGGCGCATCGCCTTGCCACATTCAAGACCAACAAGGAACTCATAGAGTCGTTCAATGCTGGGGACCACAAATTTAAGCTTGGGATTAACCAGTTCGCAGACCTCACCAACGACGAATACAACGAAGCCTGCAGTGGGTTCAATCCTCCGTTGATGACCGCGGTGAAAGCAGCGAAAGGGTTCATGTACGAGAACGTTAACGACGTGCCTTCGGGTGTGGATTGGAGGACAAGAGGCGCGGTCACTCCTATCAAGCATCAAGGGCACTGCGGTAAGCAAATATGTACTTTAATTTGTCCAAAAATATAGTCCTTTCAGTTTGCAGACCTTAATTTTCCTGTTTTCTATAACTGAAAAGGAAACATTTTTCAGTACGCTGAGGGTACTTGCTTTACTCGTACATATTGAACTATTGGGGACTATATTTACTACTATTTATTCACGGAGCGACGAGGGAGAAGTCCTTTTATCCTGGACCGTTTCTGAAAGATGCACATACAATTACCTGAGCATTTACTCGTACATATTGAACTATTGGGGACTATATTTGTCTTTTTTTTTTTTGTTAAAATGTTCTCAGCAGGTTCGGTTACATCCAGATGGTTAGATACGTAAACTTTTAATTACCTGAGCATTTAATGAGCATATGAAGGCCAGACAAGTAAATAACTAAATAGATTATGAATCGAGGTGCCATGCAATTCTCGGATTAGGATCCTCTCCACTACAAAAAAATAGTGGAGGGACCACTACATAATCACAGTCATTGATTATCGATTATCTAGTTGATAGTTATGATTTTTTCTTTTAGTGCAAATTAGGAAAGATAATCATAAAGCACCTTAATTAAATTAATCTTGCCATACACGATCTGCCGGATTTAAGCGCAAGAAATAAA